AACTCTTACTCTTGGAGGAAGATCAAAACTTGGTTTTATTGATCAGAAAGTTACCCCTCCAAAGGCTTCTTCTCTAAATATGCTACATGGTTATCCAATGATTAGTTTGTGTGATCTGCTACTCAGACTCTGCTTTGGATTTATGGAAGGCAGTTCATGATATGTACGACCAAGAAGATATTCGAACTTCAATGAGATACTGTGAGCCTACAAGAAGATGGTAAACCATTCATTCAATTGGTAGTTTGAAAAGAACAGTGGATGCTGCCATATTCTAGTTGTTAGAAAGTCTCAAGGTCTGAGTATAAGGACCTTTGCAACCATATTCTCATACCCCATAAGAAAGTCATAAATGTGGAACCCAAGTCCATATTGTCAGAAGCTCGCGCCTACATTGCTCCATCTAAAGGCGAAATCTCATACAAAGGCAAGCGACTAGGGTGGCAAAAACAGGGCCCGTCTGCCTCGACCTGCTAGAAGCTTGCCCAAAAACATATTTAGAAAATGGGCTGAATTTGTTAAACTGGCCTGTTTAAGAGTGAGTTGACCCCTGCCAAAACTCAAAAAATGAAAAAAGGCTAATCCACCAAAAATTAACAAAAAAATATAATAAATAATATCTAAAAAATTTTAAATTTATAAAATTAAAGTTTAATTAAAAATAATTATTTTTAAACTTTTTTTAAATAAAAAAAAATTGGCTTGATGGGCTAGCCTACCTTAACTCGCAATTTTAGTTTTTTGACAGGTCGAGTAAGCTTATTTTTCTACCACAAAAAGTCAATATTGTTGAGATCATGCAGCTCAATATGATAAACCATACTTCTAATCTAATTTCACTTATTAATGAATTTGCTACATACTTCAACAGAAATAAAAGGGTTATTAGGGACTATCTATAACACCCTCAATATGATAAACCATACTTCTAATCTAATTTATGTTTTTCGTTTATACATGTCGTTTGAAATTATGAGAGTTTAAAGTGTATGAGTTGCAGGATTTATCGTTATAGCGCGACTGATAATCTAGAATTTGGTTCTTTATTGTGCTCTCCTTATAGTAAGAAGTGGATAAAAACAACTTAACAGCACTCTAACTATAGTTAGGATTCTTGCCATAGCTAAAATGACAAAAAGTAAAAGAAAAACATTGCCTAATTTTTTCACTGTAACGAGAAAATGACTCGTTATAGCGAAAAGTTCACAATGTAACGAGAGACAGTTCACTGTAGCAAGAATGTCGCGAGTTGAGAGGTATTTAAAGGAATTTATTGAAAAATTTTATTATTTGCTAAACCACATTTCCCTTTCTATTCTCTTCATTCTCTTCCTCTCCCTTCTTAGAGGAAAACTTCCTTTAACCTCGAATCTTTCTCAGATCTAGGCTCAAATGTCTATTTCACTTGAATCCAAGTAAGTTTTTAAAGATTAGCTCTCGAATCTTGCTTCTATCTCTTTGTTCTCTCTTTTTATAATAGTACTTTATTTTGTGATATTAGGAAAAACTCTAGTCTTTGGGTAATATCTCTGGTCAAAACGTGAAGCTTCTCTCTAAAGCTCACGAAGAACTTATTTTCAGAATACATGTACCTTTAGACATGTTTCATTTTATTGAATGATGAGAAAGAGAAAAAGGAAAATATGTTATTAGCAGAAAGTAAAAAAAATAAAATTAGTGTGAATAATTGAGAATTATTGAGAAAAATGTGAGAAAAGGGAAAATATGATTAATATATGCGTCGTAAATACATTGATTAATGTGATTATAATATTAATGTGATTATAATATGTGTTGTAATACATTGACGGGTGCGATTATAATATACATGTTATACGTATTGATTAATGTGATTATAACATAGATATTAGGACAATATTGATTAGTGTAAACAATATGACCTTTATTGTGTCACTGTTAAGTTTTCGTATGGATAGTTAAGAGATACACAGAAAGTATAGAGTCTCGAAGGCGATTTGAGAAATTTAGAAGAAATAAGGGTGATAAATACTAATAGCTTATGTGTACACAATTGGTAGCAAAAACATTCATATGCCCCACACTCATTTTCTACATAAACTCTTGATTATACCTTTGCTATGAATGCCTAAGCACAAGTTGTATCTGTGCGTGGTGGTTGACGACGACTACCCATGCTAACATAAGTCCATCATAACTAGGAAAATTTTGTTGGCAATGATTTAGGAGCCCGTGAGTACCTAAAGTACTATTGTTTAGTGAATAATTCCAAATTAAAATGAACAAAATGTCATGAGTTCAAAAGATTGAATGATTATATATGATTGATTATGAAATGATGTGTATAGATGATCTTTATCTGCTTTGAATTATTTATAAATTATTTCTATCTCGATGCACGCTATATGAGATAGTAAATTTATTATTTCAACTATTTTAATTAAATAAAAAGTTTAGTGAGGTGGATGATATTCACCCTTACTAATATTTTCAAGTAATGAAAATAAAGAAATAAAGAAGATTGATCCATTTTAGGATTATATTTGCAATGGATAATAAGAAAAAAATTATATTTAGGTTATTTTGAAAGAATGTAATAATATTAATTTAAGTTTCTATTTAGAATTAATATTTTATTTATAAACCTATTATAAATACTTATTTAATATATATGCGAAATATTTGCTTTAGATTTTAAATTATATCTATCTCTAGTTTAAAGTTTAATTTATTAAAAAAAATTAATTTTGTTGGGGTTATGAATTTGAATTATATATATATATATATATATATATGTAATTTTAGCTTTCATTCTGATTATAAATTTAAGTTATTAAATTATATTTTATTCTTATTATAAAAGAGATTTTTATACAAATAAAATTTTAAAATTTATACAAAATATATTTTTGTTTCTATTTTTAATTTTTTTTTTTCAAATAAATTGTTGTACTTACGTTACCTAAATCTACTACTCTACTCATTTGAATAAAAAGTTAAACGAGCATCCTACACCCAAAAAGTACTCCACATAAGTTTTACTCAAAACCTCCGGTAACTAAGGTAAATAATGTATCCATTTTTTATTGATCATGCAAGAGCGAAGACAAAATGAATGTTTTGCTAATAAAAATAAAGAAGTTTTTATAGTGGTAACGATATAAACAAAAGCACTCATCTGAATTGTAAAAACATGTATATAAAAAATTTTACTTTATTAAAAATTAAAAAAGGTTTTACAATAACTATAATCTTAAATTTATTAATATATCTTTTTAAACATATTGGTTATATTATTAATTTTTTTTATTTTTTAATCATTAAATTTTTATCAACTGATTCACGGTATTTCAATGTTTATATATTCGAAAGAAGGACATTAGAATTCACAAAGCACAAAGCGGTGCACTGTCATTGAAACTTGCAGCTACCTTTCCTCACACTTGTTTCATTAGCACTATCGATGTCAATGTCGCAATAATGTAAAATATGGGAAAATCTTTGAAAATTATTTTTTAGTATTTTATTCATTAATATATTTAATTTTTAAAAAAATTTCCACTGATTTTACTTTATATTGGATTTATATTGAATTATTTATGATTTTTCTAAGTTTATGTTGCATGAAAATAGTATTCTTGGAGCAGTGTACTTTGATTTATTTTTGTCTTAATATATGTTGGTAGTGTTATTTTATTGATATTTTTGGTATGAAAGTAGACTTCTTAATAGAATTATGCTCACTAGATTCACTTGATTTGGAATTGAAAGAAAATAGTTATGAATTTTTTAATATTCTATTATGTTTAAATATGTAATGCCTATTTTATAGGTTGAGCTTCCTCCATAAACAGAAAAGTAAAGTAATGGTAATTCCTTTTATATCTCATTTAATACCAAAAATAAATACATATAGCAAGGTGGTTCTCACCAAAGGAAAAGACACGTCATAAACAAAAAAACAGCAATATCAAAGAATCCTAACTACCAAGGAAGTACTACCCAGCCCTCATGCTCATAATAAGTCCTATCACCTACTTCAATCTACCCTTAACGGTACAATCATAGTCCCCAAAATACTTTGGTCTAACTCTATTGTGTTTGGGTTTACTCATCAACATTGGGTTGGTGACAAAATCACTTCCATCCTCTTCAGCTTCATTATCATGGGCCATTACAAAATGTTTTCCTGAGAATAACGTACTTTAAATTATTTTTGTCTTAAAATTCAAGTACAATTTTATTTTATTTATATTTTTGTATGAAATTATACTTTATAAGAAAAATATTCTCACTGATTTTTTTTTATGAATTTGGAGGTAAAATAATTTACTTATGATTTTCTCAAGATGTTGTTGTATGAAAGTAACATTTGGTGCATTTTACTCAGAGATCTATTTTTGTTTTAAAAGGTATAAGTGAAGTTATTTTATTAGTATTTTTTTTTATGAAAATAGAGACTATAAAAAAAATATTCTTACTGGTTTGATAAATTTTAGATTTAAAATAAAATAGTTATGATTTTTCTATTTAAATGATTATGAGTAGTAAGTTACTATGAGTAGTAGAGAATGTTTAGAACTTATTCTAGAATCTGAAAGTGATAAATTTTTGCTTATATTTTTTTGTGAAATTAGATAACCAAAGTGAAAGAATGCAATTAATTTCATGAGTTTTAGTGGTAAATTGAATAGTTTATGATTTTTCTAATATGTTGTTGTTAAATTGTGCTGTTATGTGACACATAGTGAGAAATTAAAGCACGAATGAATGTCTGTAAATATCTTGATTTTCAAAGTATTTTTAAATGAAAATAAACATGTTAAGGAGAATAACTTCACTGATGAACATGAATCTACTTGTTCAATGTCAAACTATTCACAAATAAACTCAGCTAAACCTATTTAGAATATAATTAAAGACTTTAATTAGAATAAAAACTAATTATTTATTCTACCGGGAAGACTTCAAAACAAATTTCATTGATAGCTACGCCACGTTAGAAAACAAAAATACTTAGATTAAGCCCATTTAGCTATAAGTGACATAAAACCAGCTCCAAGAAGAAGAGATACATTGCATCCTAATCGAAGCCTACCACTATTTTGCATCTTTGTACTCATAAAATCAGCTGCAAGAAGATCAACAAGTGCCATATAAATTAAAATTCCAGACGATGCAACATTGAAGATTCCTTCCACAATAAGCGCAATGGGACTGTTTTCATCATAAATATCAGTGATTCCTATGCCAATTCCAATCCCCACCGGAGTAGTTAACACAAAAAATAACCCCATAATTGTGACAGAGACCTTCTTGAATCTTGCCTGCGGTAATTTCATATTCTAAAAATTCACAAAACATTGCTATTTTCTTTCATTTCATAAACAAAATATAAATTATAAAGACTTATATTGCTTGCTTTTATATATATATATATATATATGGCTATTTGTGATGTGACTAACAACCTGCTTCAATGAACTTTTAAAGAAAAGATACCTTATGGTACGGTATGGTCATGATATTTTAATAAGATGATTTGTTTTAGTTAAAAAAAATAAAACAAAAATGTTTGAAGAATCGTAACCAATAATCATTTCATGTATCATATCAAGTAAATAATAGAGTACCTGAGTTATGCAACTTTCAAGTCCCATGCCCTTGAAAAATTGATGAAAAGTCAACGCAGCTACTAGTGGCCTTATTGTTTTGGGACTCTCTGAAGCTCCTAAAGATATTCCAATGATGACAGAATGAACAATGATCCTTAACTGCAACACCTACGTTGAGCAAAACCATCAATCCATGTAAATTCAAAATTCAAAGTTTATTATCATAAAATAAAATCAATCTGTTCTCATTAAGAATTGTGCACCTATTACAGATAGCAACATGTGCCAATTTGGCTTCCTTTTAGTAAAATTATGGTCAGAAAATGAGTGTGAGACATGTGATGCTTTTGTTCTCATTAAGAATTGTGCACCTATTACAGATAGCATTCACTACCCTCATATTTTCAATATTCCCAATCTGCTCCATTTTTCCATACTCCTAATGTATCTTTGTAACTATTTACATGTATTCTGATCACTTTTCATGATAATGCAACTTTCACCCCTTTTTTCTTTCTTACTATAACATAATTTCACCATTTTAAACCATTCCAAGGCTTTTGTTCTTCTTTTATTTGTTACAAGTGGTCCTATTTTTTCCATAGAGATTCACATATAATCTGAAAGAGAACAATAAAATAGTTAATTATACTATTTTGATTGCATATGTCATGGAAAAATTAAATATATTTACATCATATATCATTTTATATATGAAAGATTATGTCTCAAAGTATTGTATTATTAATAAAGCTAACACTTTTGATAATCATTGAAGATGATAATTATAACACTTTTTTTTTATTTGTCTAATCACTTCATTCAATAAAAATATAATAATTACTAAAAAATCATTTTTAAGAGAATAAAAATTATGTTTAATACAAACATTATTAGTATTATTATTGAATGCATTATTTATATGTTCATACTAAGAAGTAAATTTTACATAAAGCTAAGTAATTGATTTTTGAAAGTATTAAGAAAATTTAGTAAATATAGTTAACCTTAAGCCAAATTCTTAGTCAAAAAAGATAAATGACACCAAAAATTGATGAACATGAATCTACTTTGTTCAATGTCAAATTGTTCACAAATGAACTCAGCTAAGCCTATTTAGAATATAATTAAAGACTTTAATTACAATAAAAACTAATTATTTATTCTACGAGAGAGACTTCAAAACAAACTTGATTGATATGTACGTCACGTTGAAAGCAAAAATGCTTAATCCTAAGCCCATTTGGCTATAAGTGACATAAAACCAGCTCCAAGAAGAAGAGATACATTGCATCCTAATTGAAGCCTACCACTATTTTGCATCTGTGTACTCATAAAATTAGCTGCTAGAAGATCAACAAGTGCCATATAAATTAAAATTCCAGATGATGATGCATTGAAGATTCCTTCCACAATAAGCGCAGTGGGACTGTTTTCATCATAAGTATCAATGATTCTTATGCCAATTCCAATCCCCACAAAAGTAGTTAACGCAAAAAACAACCCCATAATTGTGACAGACACCCTCTTGAATCTTGCCTGCAGTAATTTCACATTCTAAAAAGTCACAAAACCACCTTGGAGATTCTGTATGAGATAGTAAATTTATTATTTCAACTATTTTAATTAAATAAAAAGTTTAGTGAGGTGGATAATATTCACCCTTACTAATATTTTCAAGTAATGAAAATAAAGAAATAAAGAAGATTGATCCATTTTAGGATTATATTTGCAATGGATGATAAGAAAAAAAATATATTTAGGTTATTTTAAAAGAATGTAATAATATTAATTTAAGTTTCTATTTAGAATTAATATTTTATTTATAAACCTATTATAAATACTGATTTAATATATATGCGAAATATTTGCTTTAGATTTTAAATTATATCTATCTCTAGTTTAAAGTTTAATTTATTAAAAAAAATTAATTTTGTTGGTGTTATGAATTTGAATTATATATATATATATATATATATATATATGTAATTTTAGTTTTCATTCTGATTATAAATTTAAGTTATTAAATTATATTTTATTCTTATTATAAAAGAGATTTTTATACAAATAAAATTTTAAAATTTATACAAAATATATTTTTGTTTCTCTTTTTAATATTTTTTTTTCAAATAAACTATTGTACTTATGTTACCTAAATCTATTACTTTACTCATCTAAATAAAAAGTTAAACGAGCATCTTACACTCAAAAAGTACTCCACATAAATCTTACTTAAAACCTCATGTAACTAAGGTAAATAATGTATCCATTTTTTATTGATCATACAAGGGCGAAGAAAAAATGAATGTTTTGCTAATAAAAATAAAGAAATTTTTATAGCTGTAACGATATAAACAAAAGCACTCATATGAACTGTAAAAACATGTATATAAAAAAATATAAAATTTTTTACCTTATTAAAAATTAAAAAAGGTTTTACAATAACTATAATCTTAAATTTATTAATATATCTTTTTAAACATATTGGTTATATTATTAATTTTTTTTATTTTTTAATCATTAAATTTTTATCAACTGATTCACGGTATTTCAATGTTTGTATATTCGAAAAGAGGACATTAGAATTCACAAAGCACAAAGCGGTGCACTGTCATTGAAACTTGCAGCTACCTTTTCTGACACTTGTTTCATTAGCACTGTAGATGTCAATGTCGCAATTATAAGAACTCTCCACCAAAGTTCATTTGTTTTGCGACCATTGATGGTGACTAAGCGGTGTTCGATACTCAAACCAAAAAATTAGGGTGGTTTTGGACCAAGAAATTTCAAAGACTTTACTTCTCTTTTTTCCTTTTATTCTTCTTAATAGTTCTTGAATCATTCAAACTCCTTTTACTTAAACCTTCTTGTTTCCTTTTTATCGTCCATTTTTAAGAAAAGCCAATTACCCTATACGTTCGTTTCCTTTTTTAAATACGATTTTCTATTTTAAAAATAAATAATAATACAAACTTATTTTTTTAAAATATAAATTTTCATTTTCAATTTTTAAAATCTAAAAACAAAAATAACTTCTAAGGTGTTTTGGTTTTAATTTTTCTATTTCTCTTTTGAAAATAGCTAAAAATATTTTTATTAGACATATTTATTTATTTTAGTGTATTAGTGTTGTTCAATTATTTTCTTTGCAATATTACTTATTCATACTATTTATATTTATTTATTAAAAAATATTTTAATTTTAAAATTAATTATTATTTTTAGTTTAATATTAATTTATATTTCATAATTTTTATATTTTATTAAACTATGCATAAATTGCAAGTATTACTTCATAAACAATAATATTTTTCAGTTCAGTATTAATTAAAATTTGATGTTTTAATAATTTTTTAATTCAATATTTTATTTTAAATATAAAAAATTTATTTGAGTAAATAAAAAATATTAAATTTAAATATCAAATATATATTCATTTAATTTAAAATAATAAATAAAAAGTAAATAAAAATAAATACGGTTTTCTTTAGTTTTTAAAATTTATTTGAAAAATAAATTTATCAAATTAGTTTTTTTTCATCTTTAAAATTGTTTTTAAAACTAAACTAACAAATAAATTTTTCTTTTTAAAAACAATTTTTTAAAATTGTTTTAATATAATTTTTAAAAATTTAAAACAAAAACATCAGTGCATTGTATTACACTAATTGACTAATATGTTATGTAAATCAGCTTCATCACGTATTGGTAAATATATTCAGAATTTATGAACATTGACTAATTTAAATTAAAAAATTCATTTAACTAATATCCAAAAATATTGATAAATTTTTATTACCTTATTAAAATTGCTTAAGAAGGAAATATATTTATTACCGTAGAATCATGATATTTTGCTTTAAATTTTAAAAATAAAGTACTTATAAAACAAGTTATTATCATACAAAAATTTATGAGATAAATTTAATTATAAAAAAATTAGCAAACATATATACTAATATTTATTTATTTAAATTAGATAGATTTATTCCTTTAAAAATAAAAAAAGAGATAAAATAAAATAAAATAAAATTACACCAGACAAAATTGAATATTCATACGTATTTATGCCCAATTTACTTGTAACTTGACGACGGAGTTCTATTTTGTTCAGTAAAAAGAATCAAAATTCGATTATGTTGTGTTCTTATGTTTTTTTCTTTTCAATTATCTTTTCAACTATTGCTCATGCATACACCCAACACAATGAAACAAGCGATCTAGATTTATTCATTATGGTAATAATGAATATTTTCATTATTACCATAATGAACTGAAATTTAAAATTTAGAAATGTTAAAATGAAAAACTTTACATTATGTTAAAGTTTAAAATTTACCATAATGTAAATTTAAAATGAAAATATTCATTGAAGAAAGTTTTGTTAGAAATATAGTGATTAAGTAAATTATAAAATACTCATGTACTTGACTACAAATAGTAATACAAAGATGTTCATAATTTTTGGTGCGTTTATGAAAAACAAGATGTTCACGCGCTTAAAACAGCGAGTGTGGAACCAAAACATCGTTGACTAAACTTCAGCACTATAATACCTAGAATTTTCACAACAACAGAGGTGTATCTCGTTCAGCATTTAGCAAGAGATCTAGAGTTGTGATACAGTTTGGAAAACAAGAGAAGAAATGGCCTTGGCTTTGGTGGGAGAGGCATTAATCTCTGCTTCTGTGGACATCTTGTTAGATAGAATAACTTCTACAGAGTTTCGAGATTTCTTTGCCAGCAGGAGGCTCAATGTTTCTCTGTTAGATGAGCTGAGGATAAAGCTGCTTGCACTTAATGCTGTGCTCAATGATGCTGAGGAGAAGCAGATCACTGATCTTGCTGTGAAGGCATGGCTTGATGAGTTGAAAGATGCTGTCTTGGATGCAGAAGATGTGTTGGATGAAATCAACACTGAATCTTTGAGATGCAAGGTGGAGGGAGAATCTAAAAGCTTTACTACCCAGGTGAGATCATTACTTTATTCCCCCTTTAATCAATTTTATAGGAGCATGAATTCCAAGCTTGAAGCAATATCGGGA